ATATCACACATCACTTTGTGTTGAAGGACTCTAGCTTAACAACAAAATCGAGAGCTGTTTTCGATGCAAGTGCTAAAACAACCACAGATGCTTCTTTAAATACGCTAATGATAGGCCCAAAAATACAAGATGACTTAATTTGTATTTTACTAAGATTTCGACTTCATAACATTGCAATAACCACTGATATTAAAATGATGTACAGACAGATAAAGGTTCATGAAAAAGATAGAGATTTTCAGAGAATATTATGGAGAGATAGCCCGTATAAACAAATACAAGTTTGTCATTTGAAAACAGTTACATATGGAACAGCAGCTGCTCCATATTTTGCAACAAAAGTATTCAGTTAGCGATTGATGAAGGATTGAACTTTCCAAAGGCAAAGAATATAGTTTTAAGAGATTTTTTATGTTTTTTGATGATGTTACCGGTGTAAAAGATAGTTCGGAAGGTAGTGCATTGATAGACGAATTGCAACAACTGCTAAAAAGAGGTGGCTTTGAGCTTCACAAATGGTCGACAAATGAACCGTTATTGTTAAAAACCTCTGGCTTAACACAGATAGTGACAATATTCATTGTGTAATAGAAGACAAAACATTGAAAGTTCTGGGATTGGAATGGCATCTGGACAATGATGAATTCAAATGTAATGTCGGTGTAATAGAGTATCAAAGTGTTCCGACTAAAAGGATTATTTTGTCATTCGTAGCAAAGCTATTCGATCCATTGGAGTGGATAGCTGAGTTTGTAATTCTCGCTAAAATGATCCTCCAGCAATTGTGGAAATTACAATTATCATGAGATGATCCTGTAACAGAAGAGATTGATCAAAATTGGAGAAATCTATGTAGAGAAGTTAAACTTTTGAATTCTATAAATATACCTATGAAACTTCTGCTACCTGATTATTTTCGATGTGAACTTTACGGATTTTGTGATGCGTCTGAAAAGGGTTATGCAGCAGTTATTTATATCAAAATTTGCAATAACTCTGACATTAATGTTAAACTTGTAACAGCTAAAACTCGCGTAGCACCATTAAAATCAATTACGATTCCTAGACTGGAATTATGTGCAGCAGTGTTATTGGCACGCTTGATTCAGTCTGTAAAAGTTGCCTTAGTTATAAATTTTGATTTAGTGCAAGCTTGGAGTGATTCACAAATCGAGTTGTCATGGCTAAGGTCAGATCCTAAAAAATGGCAAGTATTCGTATCCAATAGAGTTTCTGAAAATAAGTCCATGTTACCTGAGAACTGGAGTCATGTTGATGGAAAAGAAAATCCAGCTGATTGTGCTTCACATGGGTTGTTTCCTGCAGAACTATTATCTCATCAATTGTGGTGGAATGGTCCTTCTTGGTTAAATTGCAGTGAGATTGCCTTGTCTAAAAATATTCTTATAGATGAAGAGGCATTACAAGATGCACGTGAAACAGTCTCATTTGTAGTTTCTGAACCTGTACAGGAACTTGCTATTATTCAAATATATCTTCATTTCCAAAGTTACAATGCATATTTGCTTGGATATTAAGATTTATATCGAATTCAAAAGCAGCATATCTAGAAAGAAATACGTCTTTTTTATCTAATAATGAAATTCGAGCTGCAACTTTCTGTATTGTCTGAATAATACAGCGATTTCACTTTTACCTACAAACAGCAACCTCCTTGGCTTGTGTGTCCAATTTTAGATGACAACAAAGTGTTACGTGTAGGAGGAAGACTGAAAAATGCGCAACTATCAGAAAATGAAAAACATCCAATCTTATTACCTTCAAAACACAATCCGACAGAAATCATAATTAGACACTTTCATCTCAAATATCTGCATGCAGCACCAGAAATTCTTCTATCTTTAATTAGACAGCAATTTTGGATCATAGCTGCTATATCTGCTATCCGAAAAGTAGTAAGACCTTATATCACATGTTGCAAACTTAGAGCTAAAACTGCAAGTCAAATAATGGCTGATCTACCGGAATCTAGAGTAACACAATCGCGACCATTTCATCGAAATGGAGTAGATTTTTCTGGACTGTTCATGATTAAACATCGTGCAGGACATGGACAAAAATCATTTAAATGTTACATATGCTTATTTGTGTGTTTTGTAACAAGGCAGTACATCTTGAAGTGGTAGAAGATTTGTCAATAAAGGCATTTTTAAGTGCATTGAAACGATTTATTGCAGGAAGAAGGAAACCATTTGAAATTTATAGTGACTGCTGTACTAAAGGTGCAGACAAATAAATCAGAAAATGTTTTTTGCAATATAAGCAAAATCAAGAAATTCACAAAATTTTGCCTTTAAGAGATAATAAAATGGATATTCAACCCGCTATCATCTCCCCATTTTGGTGGACTATGGGAATCGGCAGTAAAGTCAATGAAATTACATCTAAAAAGGACTGTTGGTGATACTGTGCTGACCTATCCGGAATTTCAGTCCTTGATAGCGCAGGTTGAGGCTTGTCTCAACTCTAGGCCATTGTGTCCAACATCGGCTGATCCAAATGATTTAACTGCATTAACACCTGGTCATTTCCTAATAGGAACATCTTTAACTGCCATACCTGAACCAGACCTAAATTATAGTTCCTTCAATCACCTTGACAGATGGCATGTGAGACAGTTTATTTTTCAGCACTTCTGAAAAAGATGGAGTCGAGAATACCTGTCTCAGCTTCAGCAAAGACCTAAATGGCAAAAAAGTCATAACAATTTAGAAGTCAATGACTTAGTTCTCATCAAAGAAAACAATATTCCGCCTCTTAAATGGAGGTTAGGGAGAATAATTGCTGTCCATCCGGGCTCAGATCATAGAGTCAGAGTTGTTAGTATTAAAACTGGTCATGGTGTCATAAAACGACCAGTCGTGAAATTGTGTCCTCTTCCTATTCAGACTAAAAACTATAAACTGCTTCGCATATAATATTTTGTATTATTTTTCTTATGTTTATCTTTTATTACAGACTGAGAAGTTTCAAAATGCTCCAACTGTTGAAATCCCCTGGGATTTCAACGAGTGCCAAGATATCTATGTGAGTATTGTTTGCTTCATTTTATTGTTGCAAACAGTGTAAATTTCTTTTGTTTTTCCTCCTTTAGCTTTGAACTTATGTATGGCAACAAGATAATTGATTGATAGAATTGTGTTTGTGACAGCCATGTAGAATGGCTCGCTTATTTTATATCAATTATTTCATATCGCTAACATCTTATTTATAATTTGTGTAATGAAATAAAAGTGAAGGAATACAGTCTATGTGTTAAGTGATTATTGTTTGTGAAACATATTAAGTGAAGATCAAAAGTAGTCCTACAAAATTTACAAATATTACACTGACTCTTGTTGTTTGACTTCTCCCATAATCTTTCTCAATATATTGATTCGAATACTGAAAAATTCGTTATCAATATTTTTGTCTGCATACACACCAAATTATGAAAACATAGCTACTTTTTAATTGATAAATATTACTAATAAAATATCATATTGGTTAATACCCTTCCCCTATTATCACTTATTAGCACACAACACACAAGTTTGAATGTGTTAAATATTAATATTTTAGTAGGTAGATTGCACCATATTTTTAAGAAAAAAGTTGATTACATATATACAGAAGTTTAGCCATTGCTGGCTCAAAAGATAATAAATTTGGAATGGTGGAAATTACAGACAGAATATGTTGCAAGTAGAGATTTTGAGGGCTGAGACTGAATGTTTTTGTTACTTTTGATATTGTGTCTCAGTAATAAGTTCACTATGAGGGGGGGGGATTGTAAGACCTTCAAAAGAAGCAACAGAAGATGGCTGTACAAGAAATGTCTGCAAAGGAAAAGGGGTGAACAAAAGATGAACCTAGTACTTTCAGCCTAAGTTTCGGTAAAATGCAAAGTTCAATGTAATGATACATCTTAATAAAGGTAGTAATAAACTATACCAAACCATTTTCAATGACAATGCCATGCCTTACTTTGGAAACATTTTAAAACATAGACAACAACAAATCACACTGATCAAATTGAGTGAAATAAAGGTCCAGTGAGTCACAAGCATGGTCAAATAATGTGCTGTGACAAAGAAAAGTTAAAAGAAGATGCTTTAGAAAAGCAGTTACTTGATTTTTTTTTTTATGGAAGGGGACCCTTCATCTAAATAATAACATTTTATCTTCTTCCTCATCACTTATGCCATCCACTCTCTTTCATATACATAAGGTTAAATTAATTTTTTCATCTACTTTACTTGTTTAATTTGCTCTAAGTTTTATGATTTCCACTGGTTTAGTATTCTAAAGTGACAGTTAAAGTACAGATGCATACTTTAAATAAGCAATAATCTGCCGTTCATGAATGGATTAATCAATTTTGTATTAATTTCCATGACAAGAATTGTTTTAAGTTACAAATTTTTTGGAACACAAACTACTTTCAGGAACAAATTAAATTCATTAACTGAGGTTTTACTAGAGATGACTAACACAACTGCTTCCATTATGGTTACATCATGACTAAATCTAACTTTATTTTGTCCTTTAAGGTAACGCGCTTTCAACTAACCTTAGTTACTCTTTGCCAAGCAATTTTTGTTACTGTTTAAGTCTACCAGTTTAAGACTAAACATTTTCTCTCTTGAGAGAGGAATTTCTCATTTGTTAAAAAGAGTCCCCATTCTACACTTACAAGCAGAGACACATGTACTTAAAGAGGGGGAAAATTTATCAGAAAAAAATTAACTAATAAACTCATCTGTCAATTACTTTATAAATTTATACATCACTGGAATTATTTTCGTCAAAATTTAGAAAGCTGAAAGTTTAACTGTAATGTTTTGATGTTCCAGCTGCTTGAAATTTACCAACTTTTGTTCAGATATTTTAAGAGAACACTTCTAACAGAACGGCAAACCCTTCTAAGAATTTACTTCAACTGAAAGAAATAATGTTTAACATTATTATTTAATACCACTGAATGACAGAAAACTTACCAATAACTGTCTTCCATCCTCATTAGCAAGTACAGTTTCAAGAGTTTGTTGAATATATATTCCTTCATCCAAGTCCTCTAAAAACCTAAATTTTAAAACAAACAATGGAATAACTAACCACATAAAACAAGAATTTGGTTAAAATTTCAGTAATATCCTTAATAGGATTAAAAAAAAAAAAAGATACATTATTTCATGTACAATGTTCTTTTAACAGATTTCATTATGGAAATAAAAATAATATTCTTAACTGTGAACTACTGCAGAAGCGATTTTAGTTATAATTATAACATTTAAATTTATAGTCTCACACAGAACAATGCATACTGATAAGAACAAATGAACATATTTTGCAAATACAGTTTTTAAACATTTAATATAATGCCATTTTTAACATACAGTAAATGCGCTGTTAAATAAGCATAATTAGCACAGCTTCACAAAAATTGTGCAAATGAACATACTGTTTAAAATAACATTACTATTTAATTAAAAAAACTGATTTGATGAAAAGTAGAATTTTACAGCCAACATTTGGTGTTCAGTGAACAAATTATTTGGCCGTTGAACAAACTTTTTGTTAGAATATTAATTCAGTTAGCATATAACATCCTTATAATAACCTCGTGCACCTTTAAGGGAAAAAAATGCTGTAAATGAATGGTCACTATATCAAAATGGATTTCGTATACTTTCATCAGTTGCATGAAAATTAAGATTTTTTAAAGAAATTGTATTTATAAAATGCTAAACAATATTAAATACCATCTCCCATAACAGAATTCCATGCTGCTTTGAAGAGGCGCAGCACATTATGAATATTCACTTCATAAATTTTGCCTTTATCCAGTGTAGAAAGAATTTGTTTCAGAAGTAACTTCCGATAACTATGTTTGAAATTTAATATGATCTCTTGATTGAGAGGCTGAAGAATAGCTGTAACATGCTGAGAAGCATTTCACTCCTATCGAAGTTGAAAACATTGATTTCAGAATGAGATGTACAGATCTAACTATATCGACAATTTCCCCATATTTGTTATTATTTATTGTCTATCGAAAAAAACAAGTCTCAAAAATGCTCTTAAATGCTTCTTCAAAAATGTCAGAATGATCTACCAACCCAGTGGCTTAGGGAGAGAGGGGCAAGGGGGTCTATCATGACCCTTGCACCTCTCGCAGAAGGGCACCAAATGGTCCCCAAGACAAACAAGATTTTCTGGAAAATTTCAATTTTTATTTTAATCGATTTCCGGAAAATAAGTTTTAAATCAATAATTTTTCTTCAAACAAATTTCAATTTTTATTTTTTAATCGATTTAATTTTCGAAAATAAAATCAATTTTATTTTAAATCCGGAAAATAAGTTTTAAATAAATTATTATAATATAATTAATTATTTATTTTCTTGGTTTGTCTGATGAAATATGTTACACATAATTTTTGCTGTAAATCAATCAAATATCTCCCTATGCAAAAAGCTTTTTTTTCTTTCTTTCTGAACATTGTTTTCTAAAAAAGTGAAATTTTTTTTTCAAGCGAAATGCATGTACCGCTCACGCTTTTTATTAAACAATGCACTGTAGCCTTTTATTATATTATAAGCTCTTCAACCTTGAACTATTATTAATTTGGTCGCTAAACTATAATAATCAAATAGTAACTCACATAAAAAGAAAGTAATATTATGGACTTTTATTTGGCTAAACTCCTGATATCGCTCATCCAGAACATATGTTGCAAGTCTTTAGGTATGTAGCTATTGATTTTAGCAGCAGAAAAGTTTCTCTCGAACGATCTTTTTGGAGATTTACTGAAGTACATGCTAAAGATGCAGCCTCAATTGAAAATTTAACTTTGAAAACTTAAATTCCGATCACATTTCATTAATGAATATTACAATGGGAATTAAAAAATACTTTAAAGAAAAGCATTAAACACAAATCTGAAACAAAATAGAGTGTTAGAGCACAAATGGTTAGTGCTACTTTTGATGGGCTGGAAGCATTAGGAGGACTATTAGAAAAATTAGTAGACGACAGTTCTACCCAAGTGACATAGAAATAAAGCTACAATTTTATTGCAAAATACACTGAATTTTAATTTCATAATTTAAGTCCATTTCTGGCATGAAATCTTCAGAACTAATTATGTGCAGCTCAGATTACAAGATCCTAAAATGAATTTTAGCGAAGCATTGCATGATCATGAATCATTTGCAACTGAACTTGCAGAAATTCAACGAGATCTGTAAAAAAGTAATTCCTCTTTGTGAAAAACCGGGTATTGATACAACAATCCGTATTAAAAGACACTGAAAAATTCCAGGAGAATTGGCTAGAGATACAGGCCTTTCCGCAGAAAATGAAATTTCTCACATTATGAAAAGCATTCCTGATCATCTGCAGCAGGAAATAAGCATACAATTTACATGACTAAGTGATCGTAATTCCAAATTTGTATATTTATTGAATGTTGAACATTTATTAAACAAGAATAATGTTGATAATGATCTTGAAAAGAATTTTAAAAACTTGGGTGAATTTTATAATACAGACCTTAATGGAACAGTATGTCGAAATATTTTGCTCAAAACGGTTCGGGGATATTATGATTTTGGATACAACTGCGGATAAGGAAATGTTTTGTTGAGTGATATATGATGTAGAGGTGGGATAAGATATGAGAAAAGAAAAAGGAGCAATGAAAAAGGAATAATATTTTTTTTGATGAAATGTGTCAGTAAACAAAAAATGTACAATTTATGCAATACAAATAAAAATTTGTTTTTCCAGATACAAATGAGATTGAATAAGAGGTATGGTTTCCCTCACCAAAAGCAATTCATATCTGAGGAACATACTGGGCACTTTATATGAAGGATTCCTTCGTTGACAAGAAAATTATTCACTAGCTGAGCCAGATGGGGCCTGGCATTATCATCCATGAGAATGTATTCATCCTCGACTGCTACAGCGTAAGGGAGCACAACTAGTCTGAGGATCTCATTCCTATATTGCTGAGTCATTAGTGCTCCTTTCCTGATAATGTGCAGGTCAGTACGGCCATTGACAGAAATATCGGCACAGATGATCACTCTGACTCAGCCAAATAGAACACTTTCATGCACAAATAGAGGAGTATTATGTACAAGGTTCTCTCTAAATGAGAATCCGCTTATTGTGAGGTTGTACACTAAAATGGGACTCGTTCATGAGCATGTTGCCACTCAACACGTCCCCATACAAGATGCTCCTGTGCCCACCCTCTGCCGACAGCACGATGAACCTATGTCAACGAAACACAAACCCTACGAGCATAGAAACCAAATGGCGGGAATGGTTTCGAATAGTTCGAGTTAAAACTCAGGTAGCAGTAGCCCTCTGAAGGTGCTTTGGCTAGATAATGGCCTTTATAGTGTGGTTTCTTCTGGCCATTAGTGTTAAATACTGATCGTGATTTTGCACTGTTGCAAGCATACGACCTTGTCTCGATCTTTGGTAAACATTTCCAGAAATTTTTCAAAAACTGATTCCATAGTTTGGAAATGACATTTTGGAAAACTTCCACTACAATGAATTGTGTTTGACTCTCCTGTAAACGATCAATGGCCTTCCAGGCTACTGATTCAACTAAGTCATCTTGCTGAAACATTGTATTCACTGCTACAAAACATTCAATTTATGTCGTTTTTAATCTCCTACTTCAAAAAGAATGCTGCAGGTCGCTTTTCACTTCTTTTCTAAAATGCATAGTTTTCGACATCACAGATTACATTTTATTTCCCAACTTTGTAAACATTATAATTTTTTTTTATAACCTCTTCTATTTACTTCTCTTAAAAATGTTGTCGATTATATGGTTATTTCATATCGAACTCACAATATTCCCTAATTGTTTCGAGCAGTGTATAGGACTGCAAGACGTTACTCTGCAGTAGAAAAGAAACTGAACCTAAAACACCATTATAGCTCTTACCTTTATAATATCGCATGGAGAAAATGTTTTTCTAAACCTAAAACTTCGAGTCGCACTTCAAATACTCCTTACTATTTCATTATCAAATGCTGGCTATGAATGTTCGTTCAACAAATTAAAATTAATTTTGACATATTTACAATCAACGATGCGACAAGGTCGCCTAAGTGATCTAGCATTTTTAAATGTGGAAAGAGAAAAATTTGAAATTATCAACTTTGATGAAGTAATTGATAAATTTGCTTCATCCAAGGCAAGACAAATGTATAAATAGTAATTAATTGTATTAATGTATCATAATATTGTTATTAATAAATGTATCTACTGATCTATAATATATATTAAACCAGGGACGTAGCTAGAGTTTCCAGCGCCTGGGGACAACTGAAGAATTTGTGCCCCTTTTTGTGTGTTAAGAATGGGAAATATTTCATTAAAATTTTCGTAGCATCAATTTGGCACCCCTTGGATGCTGCGCCCGGGCGCAGATGTCCCCACTTGCCCCATCCTAGCTACACCACTGTATTAAACTGGTTCTACTCTTATATGTGCCTTAAGATCACCAAATGTGGGGATATGTGTTCTGCGCTGGTTTCTGGCCCGACTGCGTATTGTATGGCAACCCTTTTGATGTTGGTAACTCTTTTGCTGGAGTGATTAGAGGGTCTGGTAGATTATTTTTAGTGGTTGTGCATGATAGAAGTAAGGAAACGCTGATGAAATGTATTAAAGAGTAGAATGAGCCTTGTACAACTATTTTTTGGATGGGCTGGAAATCTTACAAGTATTTAGGAAAAGAAGGTTTTGAACATTTATTTGTGAACCATAGTATGTGAATTTTCTGGATAGTGTGTCTGGCTGTCATATCTGACTGTTGCGTTTTTCTTTTTCTGACACCAGTTGTTAACGTTATTTTCTTCCTTCACGTTCGTAGATTTGGAGTGAATAACGATGACACTTGATGAAGTATCGAAACACACTTTTTTGGCCAGTGTTCTAAGGACAACTCCAAAACACATTTTTACAGTTTTCGATGAACTACTATAAACACGCTGACACGATTAGCGACACAGCCTCCAGGTTATCAGGCATTCACGATGGAGACAGC